TTTTTAGCATCAAACCCTTGTCGCTATGTGACCAACCGCAACGTTTAACGGCAATATGGAATTAATATTTCTCTTCTGTCTCAACTGATATCTCAACAACTATCATCCTCTCTCTCGTCGTCTATTGATTCCTCGGCATAGATGGCCCTACCTTGACTAGTTAGTTGATGACGGGGTAACGATGTGCTAAGAATGAGGGTGTTGGTTGGGATCTATGGTTTGGGACTTGCTTTCCTCAAATAATGTACGAGGAGACAGCAAGGCTTGCGTAGGCAGGGTTGCGTCCCTGAAGTAGAACTGTTCCTTGCGATGACATGGAAGTTTCTACCCGCTACCTTATTAAAGTAAATACAGTATATTAATTTCTTTATTTTAGACGTTTGAAAAATAAAACTTACAGTGGCAACATCCTGTGAAAACGGGTATAAAACATTGAGGACTTGCAATAAACATTACCTAGCCCAAAATTGTTGCTAATCATACAAAAGTATATAAATACGAGTAATACAAAAATATAAAGACGTGGGATTACAGAAAAGTGACGAAGTGAAGGTTTGAAAACCACCAGATCTCTAACTCTCGTCGAGACATCCAAAACCGCCGTGATAATCGCTAATTTCAGCTAGAACCCATATTATTAGCATTAGTAAGCATATAGATTTACTGTCAGTCATATTACAGCCACTTAAAAATGTACGCCCGGAGGTTTGAAACTGCTATTTTATGGCTGACTTTAACAAACAAAAATGCGAGGTTTGGTACCTCAGCTTCAAAACATGTGAAGCTTTTTTAACTAACCCATAACTATAACTAAAAGTTGAAACTCCGACCATAAAATATAAAACTGCTAATAGAAATGTAAGTTAAGGTCCCATTACATAATAATAAAGTTGGTACCATATGGGAAATTTATTAATTTTAAACAAGAAATTAAATTATCAGATAATTTGTTCAGTCGTATCCGACGTACGTATATAAAAAGTTCCTTTATTTTTGACAATATCAATAATTTTTATTAGGAAAAGTTGATTAAAGCTGAAAAGTACGTTCAGATGTCTAATAGCACCTATCTATGATAAACATCAACTGTTGTTTTGTTATTTATCTATTATTTTAATGCATCATAAAAATAATGCAACATAGAGGTTAACAGAGAAAAAGTAACAAACACACCTTTAACAAATAAAGATTTATAATTTTCGATATTTTCAAAAATTAATGTTCCTTATTGTTGGGCAATATTCATATTTTCGGACAAACGTCGTATGCGAGTAAAATTTTATATCGAACTATTGTAGTTTAGAATGGATAACATCCAGAACTAATTATGAAGAGTAACTTTTTTCCGTGTAATTAATAATAAAATTGTTTTCCGTATGAAACCAACTCAAAAATAATGCTAAAAATAACAAAACTTGATGTTCGTCATAGATAAATGCAATTAGATATCTGAACGTACTTTTCATCCCGAATCACCTATTCTTAATGACTATTATCGATAATGTCCAAGATAAATGTTCTTTATGCTTGAACAAAATTTATATTTTATAATTTAACACGAATACGAATGAAGAAAATATATGCAGGGTGTGCCGAAATTAGGTGTCCAAACTGAAACTGTAAAATTTACTCTCAAAAATAATATTACTTTTTCAAATGAACATGTATCGAAAAATGTTCCCTAACGGAGCTACGCCTCTTGAAGAGGGGCATAATAGTACGGTTTTTTACAAATTATTTCTAAAGGGTTGAACTTCAAACGTAAATTTTAGGAACTTTAGTAATTTTGATCTGAAATTAAAACTGTCAGAATTTCATCATTTGGGGGGGTAGAAGTACAAAAAAGCTTCAGCTTTTTTCTGACACTATAAATCAACTTTTTTTCCACAAATTGTGGAAACCTGAAGTATTTTACGAATAAAAGTACTTCAGTTGTAGATAAGTTCTATATTGTTGAGGCGGATTCATTTTTACAAACTTCTTTTTGGGTATTTCGCCTCAAAAATTTTTGTCTTTAAAAAAGA